CAGAGATGGGCGCTTCGGTCAGTGCCTGGTCCGGCGAGCACGGCAATGACCAGAGGTGCAGGGCGTGACCTCAGCCGTGTGGGCAGTACTTGGTGTGCTCCCTACTTCTAGAAAAAACCCTCTGTCCTAGTTTGTGCCCCAAATGCCTCTAAGTGCCTGTTCCCTGACCTATAATTAAAATCAATTCTCTCGCTGGAAATCCCAAGACACAGTCTCCATTATCAGCAGTTCACGAAACTGGCCCAGTCCCACTCACGGGGAGCCCATCCCAGACGGACTGACAGACAGACAGACACGCTCACGGGGGACAAGGCTCCGCCCCATTCAGGAGCTGAGGTGCCTCGGGGGAGGTGTGTAGGTGCTCCAAGGGTCAACCCCTGCCTGGCGGGTGCTCGGGGGCCTCTCCACCCTCCCTGGCGAGCATCCTGCCCACACTGAGCTCCAGTCAGGGAGGGAAAACACATGGACCAGGGGCGCCAGAAGGCTCACAGGTGACCCCAGGGATTGACCCAAGGAAGTCCACCCATCCTGGGACCACTGAGTCAGCCCACACCTGCATCCACTTGTGGGAGCCCTGGGCAGCATATCCATACCTAGAAAACAGAGCTGCATGGGCTCCGTCGGTCTGGGGTCCCACCTCCTCTACCAAGAGGCGCTGCAGCTCACGTCAGCCCAGGGGCTTCTGTGGCTCGGGGATGCCCAGGTGTGGCCCCTGTGCCAGCTGTGGGGCCCAGGCCCACACCCACCTACACATACTGCCCACTGGGCTACATGTGACCCAGGCCCCGGTGAAGGTCCCCGGAGTGGAGACCCTGGGGATACAGAGGGGGCTTCAAGAGAGCGGGGCGGGGGGGCACGGGTGCCTGGGGTCCTTCCCCACCTCCCCAGGGGCCCAAACAGTCTGGAATCCTGCCCCCACTTGGTGACAGCGTGCAAACACATCTGCTTGGAGTAAGCAGGTCTAGTGGCCAGGATGTCCTGTGGGTCCAGGTGAGGCCAAGCTCTCCAGGGCAGGGCCATGAACTACAGTCTGGACGGACAGAGCTGCCCCCACGGCTGATACGCTACAGGAGTGGACTGCGTGAGAGCTGGGGTGTCGGCCATTCTACGAAATGGAGACAGGGAGAACAGAGTCCTGCTCTTCCTCAGGAAAAGAGTGTCTTGGGCTTCCCTGGTGGCACAGTGGTTAAGAACCCGCCTGCCAATGCAGGGGACATGGGTTCGATCCCTGGCCCGGGAAGATCTCACATACCGCGGAGCAACTAAGCTTGTGCGCCACAACTAGTGGGCCTGAGCTCTAAAGCCTGCAAGCCACAACTACTGAGCCCAAGTGCCACAACTACCGAAGCCTGTGCGCCTAGAGCCCATGCTCCACAACAAGAGAAGCCACCGCAATGAGAAGCCCACGCACCGCAACGAAGAGTAGTCCCCACTCGCCGCAACTAGGGAAAGCCTGGGTGCAGCAACGAAGACCCAACACAGCCAAAAATAAATTAAAAAAAAAAAGTGTCTTAAACAGACCATTTCCTGTGACTAGCAGGACCTCAGGCAAGGCGAGGGGCAGGGCCGGCTCAACACACCTGCCCTGCCCAGGCATTTCCTCTAGGGGAAACAGTGGGGAGGGGAGGGGCTGTCACACCAAAAGGTGCCTAAGGCCCTCCCAGACCCCAGCAGCCACACCTCAAAGGAGACATCAGGTCCTGGCTCCTGGCCAGGTCTGCAAAGGTTCCAAGAACCAGAAGGAACAGACCCAGGTGCCAAAGGACCCTCACATGCCCAGGTGGGCTGGGCACCTCCACAAGGCCACCAGGTAGGCCAGAACCGTCCACGGGACAGGTGGCCAGCATGCCTTCCACGGTCTCACAGCACACTGGGCACCCACCCCCTCCGGCACAGACGCGGGATGAGGGACTCTGAGGGCGCCCCAGCCTGGCCTCTCAGGTTCAGCGCCACCAGGGAACAAAAAACACACTGGCTGGACTGTCGCTGGAAAGACAACCACAACCGGAATAACATCACATGCCACCTATCACCGCGTCAGCAGCCTGGGCTGGATGGCGAGAGGGACAGCGTGGAACACAGGCCCCAGCCCTCCCTGGGAGGAACTCGATTACTGGGGGAGAACCACTGCAGTAACACCCTCAGGAGGCCAAGGGGCAGGTAGAGAGGGGGTTGGGGTGGGTCTGGGAAAGACAAGGGAAACCGAGGAAGTGCACAGAACGGGGAGGGGTGACCTCGCTTTGCTCAGGCCCCAGGGCCCTTCCTGCTCTGAGATGGGAGGAAGGCCGAGGTACACCCCTCCGAAGCGGGGAAACCGAGAGAGGACATGGAGCTCACCGTGACCACACGGCCAGTGCACACGGGGCACAGCTGGGATCCAAACCCAACGGCCAGGGCCTCATGGCTATGCCCAGGCGGTGACAGGCCACAGGGGGGTGAAGAGGAGGCCCCTGAGCGAGAGCCTCAGGGCAGATACCCGGAGGGGACTGGGCCTCAGCGGGGGCAGCAGGGCTGTGCTGAGGATACAGGGCAGAGGGGAGCCTCAGTTGTGGGGTGGCCCTTGGACATGGGAAGAAAGGTCAGCACTGGATGTCTCCCAGGTCCCAGGAGGCCAGGCTGGACATGGCCGGCCTCACCAAGCTGGGGAACTGCTGGGAGGCCCCCCCCCAAGGAGAGAACCACCACTCAACTGCCCATACGGAAAGACTAAGGTTTGCAGAGCCTGTGCTGTGTCCCCCTGGCCCTGCGTGGCTGGGGGAGCAGATCCCACCCTCTCGGCCCTGCAGGCCCAGACTCCAGAGTGGAGCAGTCAGGGCTCTCCAGAAGAGAGAGGTCTTGCAGTGGGTGGCAGGGGCTCTGGGGCAAGGGGAGTGGGCCACTGGGAACCACAGGCAGCAGAGCCACGATGACCCAGGCCTGTGTGGCTCCTAGTCACGTAGGAGTGAACACCATGGATGACGCCAGCCCACACGCACTGACGTCTGCCCGGCCTGTCCCCTCCCAGCCACAGGATGCACCAGCCGGGACACGGTCCCTTCTGATGGCTCTCAGCAAGCTGGTCACAGCAGCACCAGCTCGTCCAGGGAGAGGGCCTCGGCACAGGACGGAGCCTCCAAGTCCATGGCCGTTAAGGGGAACGAAGCACGGGTACGTGATGATAAAAAGGAACGAAGCACTGACACACACACGTGGACGAACCTCAAAAACGTCACGCCGAGGCCAAGAAGCCAGACGCAGGTCACGTGTCATCTGATCCCGGTCATGCCGCCGGGGGGCGGGGAGGGACCGGTGAAGACGGGCTTTCTTTCTGGGGCCGTGACAACATTCTAAAATGGACTGTGGTGACAGTTACACAACGCTATACGAATGTACTCAAAATCAAACGGGTGAGTTATATGGTATGTGAATTACCTCTCGATAAAGCTGTCACCAAAAAAAAAAGCACCTTAAGGAGCGGGGGGTGCACAGGCTGAACCCCTGGAAAGCCAGCCTCCTGTCCCTGTCACCAGGCCTCCAAACCAGTCCCCAGGGTTCCCTCAGATAGGGCTCTGAGGAGGCCACTGCCCTCCCAGGCAGCGGGTCAAGGTTTTCAGGAAACAAAATGGCAAAACACGTCAAGGATGGGACAGAACAGAAAAACGGACACACACCAGTGCAGGTGTCTTTCCAGCCCCGACCTCATGACCCTCTCCCAGGAGCACATCCCGGGCTGGGGTGACTCGGGAGGGTTCCCTGCAGCAGCGCTCTCGCTGCGGGGAGGGGAGGCCTCAAGGTGGTGACGGATTACAGACGGTCTTTTGAGACGATGGTCACGAGACTGTGGATGTGGGGAAACGCGTCTGACTTGGGGAAGGGATGCTACAGAGAGGTGGGAGTTGAGTCACTGCGACTACATGAGGAACACACCTGAGTAAGGGGCTGCAGGAGACTGGCGGCTGCTTCCCACACGGCAGGTTGCGGTTCTCAGCTGCCGCTGCGCCCCCCCCCATCCTCTCCACTGGGTGCCCCAGGCACAGAGGGACGCAGAGGCCAGGCCGCCCCGGGGGAGCAGGAGGCCTGCTCATCTATGCCGCACTCAAGTGGGCAGGACCGGCCTCTTGGCCCTGGCGTGCTCCAGAGGTGCTTGCGGGCAGCGGTGTGGGCACCATGGGGCATGCGCGGGCACCATGCAGAGGGCCCCAGGCAGTGCCCCCAGGCTCACTGCCCTGATCACTGGCAGGAAGGGTGGGGCTTCAGGAGGTGAGGGGTTCACCCCAGGGGTCACCCCCATGCCTGGGCCCACAGGAAGCTTCCACTGCCGACCACTGGGGGCTATCCTGTTCCTCCTTATCTGAGACGTGCGACCTTGGAGAGCAGCGTCTGGGCCTGATCTGTGTCAACTGGCTGCAGGGTTCTGGTGAATCAGGTGTATCAGGGCCGTGCCCGTCACAGGCCACGCTGTCCTAAATCCTTGCCCCTCACCACAGCACGTAACGCCTACAACCAGGGCTGCCCCTCCCGTGCCCTGCAATGCCACCTGCCTCACGCTGAAGAGTCACTGAGATGCTGGACCAGCCAGCATCTGCCTGCCCCGGGGTCTCTGGGTCTGTGCTGGGAGCAGGCATTCACAAGTCAGTCAGAGTAACGGTCTGGGATCTCTGGCCGAGGTAGGAATCAGAGCAACAGGCAGGAAGATTCCGTCTGGGTTCTGCTCCTTCGGTGGAGAGCCCTCTGGCACCCACCGAGGCTACAGGATGGGACTGCTGTCCTGCTGGCTCTGGGACGCCGGGCACCCAACCACCCAAAATCCCCCAGGAGAGCGGAGCCTGGCTCTGCCCAGTTTCATCAGGAGGGATCAGCCTCGCCCCCCGAGACCAAGAAGGGTGAGTGCTGGGGACAGACAAGAGCGCCTGCCCTTCACCGCTCACTAAAAGGCCCGAGAAGTCCCAAAACCATAACCGGGGACCCAACACTCCTGTGTCCCCAGGCAGAGTCCCCAGCATGCGGCGGCCGAGTCCCACCTGCAGCTCCTTGTCCGAGTACTTCTGGGGGTTTTTGCTCCCTTGGCTCTTCTTGCGGAGTTTCTTCAGCTCGGCCTGGCACTTGTCCAGTGCATCACCTTTGCTCCTTTGCTCCGTCTGGTATTTCTTCAGCGCAGCCTGAGATTCAAACAACAAAACCACGGGCAATGAGCTGGTGCGCCCCTCCCGCTCTCAACTGGGCCACAGCGGCCCGGACCCTGTGGACGGCAGGAATTGTGCAGCTGCAAACCTGAGGCCTCAGCTCTGCCCACCCTGGAGGCAAAGATCAGGGCTGGGAAAACCAGCCAGCCTCCCTCTCTCCCACCGAGCCGCCTCGCTCTCTCCCAACGCAGGGCCGGAAGTGCCTCAGGTCAAATCATGTAATGAACACCGACAGAGCCCAGCCCCTCGCCCTTCTTGTCAACCTGGGAGAGGTGACAGGGCAGGGTCAGGGCATGAAGAACTCCAGGAAACGACAGCGGGTCAGAGGAGTTCACACAGGTTCCACAGGGCGGCTGCCTCACATCGTTTTTACAAAAAGCGGCCGAGAGGCGGGAGTAGTGGAACCTGGCACGTGGGGCATCAGACGCAAGAGTCCACTCACGGGGTCACATTTAGTTTCAAATGGGCATGAATGTCAGAGGAGCTGCAGGAAACCCACAGGATGGAGAGCTCACAGGAAGATGAAAACCATTCAGACAGGGAAGGATTCACACACAGCAGAGCCCAAGCAGCTCAGGGTGACCAGCAGGTACAGGGTGGGGGCTACTTACGCTCAGGTACCTGGAGTCCAGCTCCACCTTCTGCTCCAGCTGCGTTAGCAGCTCGTTGTGAAAAGACTTCAGCTGGACATGGAGAGAAAACAGCCGTCAGCTCCGACGTGTGGCTGCCCCGGGAGAGGGGGGGCGGTCACCACGACCATGGCACCTGGGACGCTGGGCACCCCAATGGGCGAGAGGAGCTTGTCTGATCCAGGAGCCGATGACCCCGCAGCGACAGGTGGGCCCCGCGGGGCCACGCGGCCCCGGGAGTGAGTGCTGAACTGAAGCCTGGCCTTCGACAGGCATGGAGCCTCGCTTCCCTCGGGGAGACAGAGACCGCCTCCCCACTGTCCCTGCTCTCCCGTGCTGGTGGGTAACATAGGCATAAGCTGACACGAGCCGTAGACCTGCTAGGTCCTGGCAGGACCTACAGTCTCGGTGCACCTGTGCTTCCCCAGGCCACCACTCGAGATGTCCCCATGTGGCCCTGCGGCCAGCTGAGAATAACACCCCATCTTGGCCGTGTCCTTTTCTTCCAGGTCCGTCTGTATATCCTCAGCCCCCATGGTGGTCACATCCCTGGTGTGTGACTTCTCTCTCAGGCCCTGGGGACACCCCCACCTCTCTGGGTATGACCACAGGAAGGCACATACTTCCCTAGTGGATGCACGGCCACAGCACATGCCCGGCTCTTCCCCTCGCCTCTAACAGCACCTGCTCACCTGCATCTGCCCCTCCCTCCCCGGGGTCGCACTGGGAGGCTGGGACTCACCATTTCCTCCAATTGATTTTGAATCTGCCTGTGGACTTCGGCCATCTGGAAGAGAACGTCCCCTGGGAGGCAGATGGCAGGAGAGAAAAGCAGGAGGAAAGTGAGCTACTCAGAATCACTGTCTTATCACTCCCTCCACGGCTGGGGAGCAGGTACCAGTGGGCCAGGCACTGGGGTTGCGGTGGTCTGGGGACCGGCGGGCAGGGGTGTGCTGGGGGCAGGGGGAGGGGTGCCTCTCCAGGTGATGCCGCCAAGAGGAGATGGGAAATTCTAGAATGACAAGGATACACAGTGGCTTGGTGTCTCTGGGGGTTTGGGGGCCTCAGGCATCTGCACTGGATCTGAGATTCATGGCAGAGGTAAGAAGACCGGAGACCCTACGTTTGCAGGTTTCAACCCTGCGTGCGACCCTGTGAGCACATGCATCTCCTCTCACAGGCGCCAACCATCAGCGGCCCACCTACCTCGGGCCCAGGCAGAGGTAGCCACAACACGTAGCCCCTGTGCGTCCCGGGACGTGGCGTGGAAGGAAGGTGGCCGTGAAAGGAGGGACCCCACGGCCCAAGACACGTCATGGTCATCAGAGTCCCGACACCCACCCCAAATCAACACTGTGGAACAGAAGCTCCGAGCTGGGGCACTCATGGTACCTGCCTCCGAAGACCCTCAGGGCCACTGCCCACACCCACAGGGTCAGCGTGAAGGACTTCCTTGCACAAATGGCTCATTTCCTCCTCTGCAGAGGGTGGGTCTGGAACGGGCAGTGTGAGCTCCATTCATTTCATTGGCAAATATTTGCTAAGCAGCCACTTCTGGCGGCAGGCACTAACCATGCGCTGTGGCCACATGGAGGAGGGCCCGCCCCTGCCCTCGGGGGCAGTCACCTGCTGACTAACCCTGTCCCAAGGTGCTGCTTACACCAGGACGACCCTCCCCTGCTCACATCCAGGCCACTCAGGGGTCACGTGACCCAGAGGATCCTGTTGGGGGCAGCCACAATGAGCACCTCTGGTCCCCATGAGGCCAGCCAGAAAGCAGAACAGTTCCTGTGGCCCCTGCCCTAATGGGGTGACGCTGCCCACCCTCCAAGGTCATAAGGACAGCACGTAGATGATCCCCTGGGGTCGCTTGCCCTCCCAGAAGCACAGCTGGGTTCTGGGGACGGCCAGCTCCCGGTCATCGGGCCGTTCGGTCAGCTGCTGGTGCTCTTGTGGCCCTGATGACCACAGAGCACAGTGATCACCACAGGCAGAATTAGGGACAGATCGCCAATCCTTGGGGCAGGCTGCCCGAGGTCAGTGGGCTGTTAAATGGCCGCACTGCTGGCCTCCGCTGGCAGGCCCCGGGCCTTGCCTCCCAGGGTCACTCTCTGTTGCTGGAGTGCACGCGAGGTCGGCCTCACCAGCCAGCGGGTGCCCCGCCCCCGTCTGAGTTCTGAGTTCTCACTCTCAGTGCGCTGCTGGGCTGAGTGCCCAAAGGCCTGGCTTCGCCTCGGATGCACAGATTTCTGTCGAGGGAGGAGGAGGAGGGGAGAAGAGTGCTTCCGAAGGAGCCCCAAGGGTCACCTGTCAGCTGGGAGGAGCCACGGTGTGCCAGGGGCTAGGCCCTGCAAAGCCAACCGCGTGTCCCTGTCAGGAGACAAGGTCGGGGGAGTTCCCTGGCGGCACAATGGTTAGGACTCCATGCTTTCACTGCTGCGGGTGCAGGTTCGATCCCTGATTGGGGAACTAAGATCCTACAAGCCATGGGGTGTGGCCAAAAAAAAAAGAAAAAGGGAGACACAGGCATGCCGGTGGGTCCCCTCCGGATGGGGTCAGACCACACATAGTTGTGGTTCGCTGGACCCTGGGCTGAGTGTCCAGCAGGCTGCCTGTGCCGACAGTGCGAAGACCCCTTCCCAGGCACCACATGAGGAAGCACAGACCCCTGGGGGGCCCAGGCTGGCACCCAAGGCACCAAGTTGCTTACAGCTACTGCAGAGAGAGGAAGACGCCCAGGCCCAGCCCGAGGCTTCGAAGGATGCTTGCGGTCAGGGCCAGTGCCACGCCGTGTGAGCATGAGTGAGTGGGTAGTGTCTGTGTGGTGTGAGTGGGGGAGGGCATGTGGGTGCCAGAGTGTACACGTGTGTGCATGTAGGTGCACACGGTATGCATGGGGGTGAGTGCGTGCATGGATGCAGGGGTGTGGGTGTGAGCGTGTGTGGCTGTGTTGGGCGTGGGTGTTGAGTGGGTACACGTGTGGCTGTGTGCGCCTCAGTCTCCATTCTCTCTCCCCGCAGCCCTGGGGTGCTGCTATGGCCCCGTGGACGCGCGGCTCCAGGAAGCTAAGTGACCGGGCTGTGACTGGGTGGGCCACAGGGATCAGAGCCGGTCCACACAGGTCTGCCTCTAGGACCGTGCTTGTCCATGAGCCGGGAGGGAGAGGACGGAGCGGGGAGATGCACGAGCAGGGGCAGACACCAGAGCTCCTGATGCACAAATCCCCTAATCCAAAGTGATAAACATTTACTGAGCACTGCGCATGCTGGCAGGGCCATGGACACCAGCACCAGGGCACAGGGGGAGGCCTGGCGGGGGCCCAGAGTCCCTGGAAGTTACTTTCCACTCAGGCTCCAAATGGCAGCCTGACCTCAGGCCTGACAGTGCTGTTGGGTGTGGCGGGGCAGGGGGGGCGGCACCTGGGGACAAGAAGGCCCCGCCCCCACCGCGGCTGCCTGGGGGCAGCATGGTCGATGGTCAACCAACCACATACACTGAGGGCTGAGCTGAGGCTGAGCAGCCCCAGCAGGATAGGATGTGAGTCTCACTCATCCTCTCCTGGCCCTGACCCCACTTCTACCCCGTCCCGACCCCAGAGGGCGGTCTATGAGTCAGGGAACTGGCCGAGGACAACAGGGGACAGAAGGTGCCTGGTCCCCGCCCTTGGCTGAAAAGGAACCACCAGGACAAATACAAGCAGGCAGCCCAGGGGACAAGGCCAGGCTGCCACCACCCTGACCTGACCTGCTCAGACCCGCAGCTCCCGAGTGGGATGAGGCTCCCGGCATCGCCACGGCCTTTCCGCATCCCCAGATCCGATATGCTTGGAGGGGATGCTGTCCTGTGTGTCAAGGGTGGCACGCACAGAAAAGCCAGACCCACAGGTCACCCTCTGGCCCTGTGGGCTCTCTCAAGGGACATGAAGTCCATAAATAAGACACAGAGCAAGTGGCACCGTTGGTCACGCTTGAGGCCCCAGAATCGTAAATTAGTGTCCGGATCAAACTGAACACATGCATTTCCTTGAACGGCCACACAAAACTAGTTGAAAGAAAACATTTGAAAAATAACAACAACAAATACCAAGTCCTTTAGATAAAGAATTCCTGTTGCCAAGAAGAGTGTGTGAAGCTTCTTGAGGATTCTGGACACTGCACCGCATCGCCTCCGCCCACCGGAGCCTCCGCCTGTGTCCCTGCGCACGCATGCGGGGAGTGGGCACATGCTCTGAGCTGCAAGTCAGTGGCTGCCACAAGCCGGTCCACACGGGGAATTTTTAAGGTGCGTTACACAAGCAGCTGCAGGAAGCCACGTGTACATGATGGTGGTGTGAGCGTATGGACCCTGGAGCACTGTGGGGGCACTGGGCCAGCTGCAGGGGGCGGTCACCCCTGCCCGGGGATGAGGCTGTGCCCCGAACTAGGCTTCCCAGGAATGCGGGGGGCCTCAGGCATTGGCACGGACACTCTCTCGTCCTCTCACCCAGGTCCCTTCCGGGTCCTGGGAGGCGGGCGAGTGAAGGTCCTTGGAGCCATGGGGCCGGCCAGAGCCTCCCCGCTTCTCTGGACTCAAAGGCCAGCATGAGGTGGGGACACTTTCCCAGGCCCACCCCATACGTGGAGGAGGAGGCCACTGGGCTTTCTACCAGGCCTCATCTGGGAACCCAGGTCTCGGTCCACAGCACAGGTGGGCCCTAAACTCGAAAAACCAGGTTTAAAATAGAGCCCAGACCCAGCCTCGCCAGAGCAAAGAGCGGGGGAGCAGGGTACTCAGTTGTCACCACCGATGGGACCGCCAGGGTCTCGAGGAGTGTGAACAGAGGGGTAGGCAGGCAGGTGGCCAGGCCCCAGGGCGCCACAGGAGGGGAGCGGGCAGGCCACCCTGGCACTGAGGAGGGGTTGGGAGCAGGCCATCGGGAGCAGGGACAGGAGAGGGCACACTTGGGTGCCATGAGGCTTCATCCAAGACAAAACCACCGACAGAAACACAGGCATCTGAGAACGAGGCGACGCCCTCCCACCCAGTGTTTACCCTGTGAGAAGGCAGCCAGGTCAGCAGTGAGTCACCTCCGGCTGCACACCCTTCAGCTCTGAGTGTAAAAATTCCTGGTACTCTTGGTAACCTTTAACACCAGCCTTGTGTCTTTGGGTTAAGAGTGGAACTCGGTACACATGGCAACTCCCCTCCCCCAGGGAAGGGGCTGGGGCAGCAAGCGCAGGAGCGCACGCACGCACACACACACACACACACACACACACACATACACACGCACATGTTGGCACATGCTGCACTTCCTCACCGACACAGGCGACGTGCTGTTCACCTCCCTCCCCTCCAACACAGTCTGGCTGGACACAGGCTGCTTCTGTCTGGTGTGGCTAAGACAGCACAACGTCGGGACAGCCGCCACCACCTTTGCTCTGCATGACTGTGGCCTGGGAGCCTGAGCATCCTGCAGACGGTGCGTGTGCCCCTGAAGAGAGGCTGTGCGGCCTCGGGAACCAGGGTGTGCCCTTGTCCCCCAGGGTGGTGGCCTTGCCCTTGGTGACAGGGGCAGAAAGAACTGGTCCAGCCTTCCAGCAGGGACAGGGCCCCCAACAAGGACACAACACTGGAGCTGGGGTGGCTGGACAGGGGGGGCTGAGGCCCAGGCCTGCGTAGCCCCTCACAGGCCACTCTGTCCTCAAGGAGCATCCACCACTCCTAATTCCAGAACGTTCTCGTCACTCCAAAAACCTGTCCCCAGCAGCAGTCACTCCCCTTTCCCTCCAGCCTCGGGCAACCACTAATCTACTGTCTGTACG